TAATATCCTTATTAAAGGAAGTCAAAAAATTACCATGTTGTTACAGACTCATTTATTCCGAGTAAATAATAACTTTCAGATGAGCAGAGCAATTTTGTCTTAGGAAAAACAAAACTCTGATGATGACACTGTGCTAATCTCGAAAGTACACGGAATAAATGAATATCTATCAACATGGCAATTTTCTCTCTTCCTTTACTAAGGATACTAAGATCCGTGAATATGTGTGTGTATATATATATATATATATATATATATGTATGTATGTATGTATGTATATATATATATATATATATATATATATATATATATATATATATATATATATATATAAGCATTAGAGCCCGGAGTTGCCTGGGATGTAACAGTAAGAGATAGATCAAGTATCGACCATCATAAAGACTGAAAAATAAAATTGACAAAAATTATTGTTTAAGGTTGACGGACACGCATGTCTTAATTAGTTTTTTTTTTTTACGAATTAGTTAAACCCAAACTCAAACAAAATCATTGTTTTCAATCGTTATGAGTCTATCGATTGAATAGAATTTTATGATAAACAATTGTCTTGTAAATGGAATTTTTAAAGCATTCTGAATGTAAAAATAAAAAACAAGACAATAAGAAACACTACCTGCCAAAAAAAAAAAGTTAAGTTTTGTTGAAATAGGTTGAAAAATGTAGGAAATCCGATCCCATATATAAACGAACACACACACAAACAACCTGGGTTTTATAATAAGTATAACTCGATATGAGTTGTCCCCCTTTCATTCTCACGACAGCGATGCCTCTTAATCGTGTTTTCAAATTGATTTCGTGCAAAAACAATTGTGTTTTTCCAATTTTTGGCGCTGTTGAAATCGGTTGAAAAATATAGGAAATCCGATCCAATATATAAACTTACACACACACACACACACACAACCTGGGTTTTATAATAATAATAATATGATACCGGGTAAATCGTGTAACAGCATGAGGTAATGTTCATCCCATAAAATGTTTAATATCTACAAAACCACTGAACTAATTGAGTTTCTGTTTTTTCTAGTTTTTCAGATGAGTCGTTTAGCCATTTTGACATCATTTGTCGTAAGGATCACCGAAAAACCATTTGTGTTATTTTGGCTAGAATGACAACAGGTTAAAATCATTTTGTGTTAGTCCCACTTTGTCTTCCCAAATGATCAATTGTTCGAGAGAAAAAAATCATTTAGGCCTTCAGTAATGCTACCAACATTCATACTATGGCTTCCATCTTCAAAGTCTATGAAAAAAATATCAAGAGAACGGTCAATAAGCTTAACAAAAAAGGAACAGTAAAGAGGAAAACTAGATCAGGATGTCCCAACCGCAAGAAAGATTATCATTTCAACGTAGAGCTAGGTACATTCTGATTGTTCAAAATAGATTCCAATTGTGATATAAAAACCTCACAGAATTCCAGTAAGATATCTTTAATCATTTCTAAGATACAACGGTTAAAAGCTTAATCTAGCATTTGGAGAATTTTGCTTTTACACCCATTATACGTGTAGTTGTGTATCGTTCAGGAATCTGAAAACTGAATTCGCGAATGTCGTTTGAATTTGAGTTCAAGTAAATTTTTCATTTCTCTATCACTCTAAAACTTTGCGAGATATCTTAGTATATTTCTTCTGAAATGTGTTGAAATAAAATTGAAAGTGTTATATACCGTACCTATGAACACATATGGCTATGTCCCAATCTTCTTGAATACGTTGGAAGACTATTGTAAGTGGGGGGGGTAATATGCTGTCTAAGTAGTCCACCACCAGCAGTGGTTTACCTGCTTTCGCACCGCTAGCGAGTATTGTATTTTATTGATATTATAAAGATTACCATTTCATTTCCAACCTCCGATTTGGTTATTCCTCATTAAATAACATTTCCTAGGTTACAACAATCATTATTATTATTATTATTATTTTTATTATTTTATTATTTTCTTTGATTCACACATTTCTTTCCGGGTCCCGCCCAGGGACCTAAGGTTAGAAATGGCGTCATGACACTTTCCACTGACAAAAAAAAAAAAAAAAAAATTAAATTACATAGATAAAGCCCTTCGTAAGGTGTGGGCTGTACTTTATTATTATTATTATTATTATTATTATTATTATTATTATTATTATTATTATTATTTATATACCATACCTATGAACATTAATGGGTATGTCCCAATCCTCATAAATACGGTAGCACTATGGTAAGTGGAAGTAATATGATGTCTTAGTAGTTCACCACCAGCAGTGGTTTACCTACTTCACGCCGCTGGCGAGTATTGTATTTTGTTGATATTATAAAGATTACCGTTTCATTTCCAACCTCCGATTTCGTTATTCCTCATTCAGTAACCTTTTCTAGGTTACGACAGACAGCAAAAATGCTTTAATTTGAGCTGGATTCATATAAAAAAGGAAATTGTGACTAAATTCTGGAGTTAAAATATTTTGCGAGGAGTGTTTTAATTTAATAATCTCAGTGGAAATAGCAGAAGTAATCATTAATTGTTTTTGTTAATAGATAAATATCAATTAACAGAAATTACTGATATCGAATTACACGGATACAGTACCTATGCTTCCGGCCAAATGTTAAAAAAATTCTAATGAATCGTGAAGCGTTGAGGATAAATTAATGCAACCTAAGCTCGCTGGAAGGTGAATATTTGAACACATGTCCGCGTTGCTACAAAGTCAATAAAAATATTAAATATGCCAGTTTTAGTATACTACTACTACTACTACTAATAATAATAATAATAATAATAATAATGATAATAAAATATTGTTATGACTTAAAGCCGTCATAGGCAAACTGCGGCCCGCGGGCCACATGCCGCCCGATTACTGCTTTGAATGGCATGCGTAATTTCGTGAGAAAAATAACGTTATTAGAATATTTGTTGCCTTTCGTTCTTACTTTTAGCTCCCATACTCTCATGCATGTCCCCATAAATAAACAATAATTAAGTACAACGTTTCTTGAATTTGGTAACTTTTCGTTGAAAGCAATGTTGACAGCATTTTAAACTATTGACGATTTTCACTAAGGAAGATCATATGTGTAAATATCTTTTGTTTCGTTTGTTTTTTTATAGAAAGTATCTTTTCTCCAAAACAAAAAAAAAAAAAAAAAAACTTTTCTCCATTTCTAAGGCAGATGCTTATGCACATGCTCATTTGTTGGAAAAATGGCGCTGGTATCTTTAGGCCCTTCCCCGCCAATTTGTTTGGGAAAAACTTTTCATTTTTAGACGAACTTTTTATTTGTCTTTAATATACTAAGAAACTGAGGCACTATGAATTACCCTAGCTGTGGCTAACACCTCTTCCAAACGTGTGAGTGGACAATTAGACTCGTTTCAAGCTCAAAAAGGCATAAAAAGAATCAAGGTAGACGTATAAACACGCCTGTAGCTGTTTTTTTTTAACGTTATGTTTTGGACGGGTATATTCGTCCTTATCAGAAAAAAGATTCTTCCGGTAAAAACGTATATACACGTCTACGCCGTGAAAGGGGTTAATGAAAAATTCTCATGATTTTTTTTTTTTTTTTTTAATGAGAATATAAGATGAAATGTGCCTCATGTGGCATACTGTTTAAAAAAAAATTGCTATGCCTGGCTTAAAGTCATAATCCGAAATTTGAAATTGGACGATACCATTTATTAAAATTAATAAAGTGTAATGGAACAGCGAACGTAATTGTTGGCAGCTCGGAAAGAGGAATTTGTGAGACGAGTTCAAATTCCGGCGGAGTCCACTGTTAGTTTGGGAAAAGGTATGAATTCATATCCACCCCACTCCACCTCTTCTACAGATAAAACATATTTAGTTGGCAATCGTCTCGGGCAAGCAAAGCTCTGAATTCAATTTTTTTAATTGATTATTGGTTCGTTTTTTGACGTTCAACTTAACGTCAAAAAACGATATTATTTTTGCACCAACCTAATATTTCTCTCCAAGCAAGTGGTCACCCATCTAAGTACTGACCAGGCTCAAGGCTTGATTTTTAACCTCTTCAAAAAATAAAATTTATAAAAATTCTTTTATAAAAAATGAAAAAAAAAAAAATAACATTTCGCGAAACAATATTTTCTTAAAATAAAACGCCAAAAAGGTATGCATCAGTTTGTTCTTTATTTAAAAGAAATCTTTTTCTAAAATAAAGAAAATGGTTTTCGTACGCAAATAACAAAGACGTAAGCACAGTTTCAAATTTGACATTTGTTGATTGATTACTTTATTGTTTCGTTTTTTACGGCTTGTCAACCCTTTGCAGGTTAATTAAAACCGGAAAATATTTTTACATTGTAAGAACTTTTTTGATAATAATAATCCCTAATTAGAATTTGATAAACAAACAAGAAATTATGTGGGTGTAAAGTGGGGGGGTCAATTCTATAATAATTCAATATATAAACTGATCTCTGACTTTGTGGCCATGGTAGTTTTGTATACATTGATATTCCAGAGCATGTAAATACATCCAAATTTCATGACTTTGTAGCTAATCAGTAATTGATTGATTAAATGATTGATTGATTTTCTATGGCTTATCAACACTTTGCAGGTTATTTAAAGCCAGAAAATATTTTTAGATTGTAAGAATTGTAAT